CCCTGTTTTCTGAGAATGTGGGGTTATACTTTCCATTGATAGTGATGGGAATTGATGGATAAATAAATTACATTATGAACATAATATAAATATATGGTGGAATGGTAATTAAAAAAATAGCTTTCATATATCCAATATAATCAAGCCTTAGCTAAGGCCATGATTTCAAAATATTTTTAACCTTTTCTGAAAACAATCTATAAACATATATTGTGGCATAATTGAATTTCAGTTTAACATGTTCATCAGTAATTTTGGTATTGTGATAACAATTACAAATCTCATAGTTTGGTGCAAAAATTATCAATCAGTCCTGTAAAGCAATTGGTATTAAATAAAAAGAGTTAGTATTAAAGGTGGCCCTTGAAAAATTAATAACTATTCTACTTGATTTTGAGCCTTTGTAAATTCTTATAACCAATTTGTAGAAATATGTGAAAGATATTTGCAATATGAAGTCAACTATTAATTATTTAGAGAATGGTATCCAATTTGTGAAATATCTAGCAACTACCTTCTGCTTGGCCACTGTGTTGCCATTTTATCATCTTATAAATACCTACCAAGGAGAAAGCAAACCCAAATAAACCAAACATAAAGCAAACCAAAAACTGCTTAGTTTTGTTGATATTTAATTGTTTTCAGAAAAATTTGATTTGTAAAGATAGAAATTGAGATTTTGACTTAACTGGATTTTAATTTTGTCTGGCTTTTGTTGATATTATGGAGGTAATGTAAGAAGTGATTTATGGCTGTGTGTGTGTGTGTGTGTGTGTGTGTGTGTGTGTGTGTGTGTAGCTGAAAGCACTGCCACACAAATAAAGCTGAAATAGGAAAAATAATAGAGCCTGAGCAAATACTTTTCCCAAAATTAACACATTAAATCTGATCAGCAACCACAGTGATGGAAAGAGGCCATCACTATTCTTGACTTGTAAGAAAAAGGAACCAAACCAAGGGTATAGGGCTTATTGCCAAATATAAAACTAATTTAAAGACAAAATACTAGTAAAACTATGCCAAACACAGTTCTTTAAAGGAAAATTAAATATTGACTAGAATTGTAAGTGATTTTTTAAAATAAAATTTCAGTGTTAATAAGCTTTTTTTTTTTTTTTTTAGTTGACAGCAGGATCTTTTGAGTTTGGCTTCCTACAGGGATAGCCTTGAGAGACAGGCTTGGCCTTAGGGTCTTAACTGTTCTAGCCTCCATCGTTTGGAGTCTCCAAGAGAATATATGAGAACTATGGGAGAGCAGATCTATAAAGTACACTGTGTTCTCTCCAGTGGATCCTTAAGGTTTCATTATTTCAGCTCTTTATTATTGCGTTTGACTTTATCATCAAGATTAATTTGTTCTTCCAAATGGATTATTCAAGTTTATTTTAAAAATCTGTATATTCTCCTTTTATGTAGATTCTCCAAAATAGCTGTAAGAGAAGAGTCACCAAATGCTTCAGTTTTGCTGAATTGTTGGCATCTGAGTTATGTGACTTATTTCCATAGGGAAGTATGTTAGGTTTTCAGAAGGATTCATGGCTTGTCTTTTTTTTAACCACCTAATAAGACTTGCAATGTGACATTTGACTTTGGAAAAAGACGTTGCACTAACAGTTTTAAATTGATTAGTGTATACACAGCTACTTCTAATATTTTTGGACAAAAGAAAGGAGTACAATCTTTGGCTTTGAAATCATGCTATATGAAGTGATACATTTAGACTTGAGAGAAAACAGATATATGTTTTTAATTCCATGCTTCTCTAAACTACTTGGAACAAATTATATTGTTCTTTTTTTTAAAAAAAATGATTATCTATAGGGTGAGTGGGGAGAATAAGACATTATGGCTAAATTGTTCATTAACTCTCTTATTTTTTCCTGGAATATTCTCCTATGTATGATAGGAACAAATAATTAAGAAATAAAATTTGAATTAAATAAAAGAGGAAAAGATTAATTTGTTTTATGCCACATGTGGGCATACTTGGTGTTACTGTTGTAGGGGCACAGCCCTTGAAAAACATATTTATTATTCCTTGATATGTTAATTGTATTATTTGTATTTTTTTACATAAATGAAAAAATTACCCTTTTATAAAAAACTATTCATAGCAAAATATGATCATACCATTGTTCAACTTTTGTAAAACAGAATAATGCTACATAGCTGTTTGTTTCAGTTACAAGTCTAATTTATAAATCTCTCTGAAATATTTATGGTACTTGATAAATAGATCACAGAAAGGTTTACTAAAACATTTCTCATTGATTTTTAACCTAAGTTACGTCATATTTTATTTTGGATGGTCTCCAATTACAAATTCATTTGTAAGTTGTTGTTTTGTAAAACAATTTAATCCTGGCATTTAACTTCATTCAGAGTTCAGTTAGGCTGATTCTATAATAAGTTAAAGGCAATACACTGATATGACAAATATGACTTTGACAGAAAATTTTTAGGATCTGTTCTTGGAAGGAACTCTACTTTATAGGTATAGAAAATGAGAGCTGGCAAGGAATTCATCTGAATTTTACGAAACCAATAAACAAAAAACCATATTATACTTATAACTATTATTATAATTCTGACAATTTAGTACAGCATTATAAGAGAGATGACATATCAACCAATCTCATTTTTAATCCAATCATATACATTTGTATGGGTTGTTTTTATATGTTTGGATGAGGTTTGTGTTTCAGTAGAGATAGGGTTTCACCATGTTAGCCAGGCTGGTCTTGAACCCCCAATCTCAAGTGATCCACCCACCTCATCCAATCATATCCAAAGCAGAGTCACACACATATAACTGTACAGCAAGCAGAAAAAAAAGGAGAGAAGTGTATTTCTCTCATGCACATATATATATGAATGGATATAAACATGGGAACAATAGACACCATCGGCTACTGGACTGAGAGGGAAGGTGGATATGGGTTGAAAAAGTATTGTTTACTATGCACATTTCTTGGGTGATGGAATCTGGACCCCAAATCTTACCATCATCCAATATACCAATTTACCAAGACTGTACATGTACCTTTTTATCTAAAATAAAATTTGACTTGTTTTTTACAAGAAAAAGAAAAAAGAAAGGAAGAAAAGCTTCATGGTAATTTTAGTTTACTGATCATAGTTTTAACTATGAGTGGTGGAAGGGTGTGGAGCCTGGGGGTGGATCTCATCTTGCGGTTATCCTTACCACAGTCAGCTCAGGGGGCAGGGACCGGGAGGGCAGGATGGTACATAGATGCTGGAAGCTAGCCAGCCGTGGCCATTAATTAACTTGAATGACTATGTTTCAGAATTTGTGAGGTACAAAGTACTTTAAACTTCCAAGAAAATGAAGACTTCAAATGAAATTTCTACCATTTTTCAATCAACTCGTTAAGTATTTACATTTATAGGTGGTTTAACCCCATCCGTGAAAGGGGAACATTTTCTAAAAATTGAAAAATGGCTTGCTGTTAGCCAAACTATAATACACAGTAAAGACCACAGTGTGCATAGTTTAAAATGACCAAAAAGAGGAATGAAAGAATTGAATCTCTAATCTTAACCAGATTGAGTAGATATTATCCTGTAAGAAAGGAAATGAATTTGCAGATGACTTCACAATTCACTGGCTTACAGTGTTTCACAAATCACTCAGGTAAGAAAGGTAAAGTGAGTGATCATGGTGACTGATAATGATGTTCCTCATGTGAAGGAAGGTCTCCCTGAGTTGAAAACAAAATCATCTGGCAAAATAGGGTGATGGTCTTGTTTTAAGACCACAGAACTCAGTGTGATGCTTCTGTTAAAACATGTAGAATGCACTTAACACCTCAAATGGAATGAATTGCATGCTAATAATTATCTCTGTATTATAGCCAATGAGTTGAAATGGTTTCTTTATAGACAGGATAATTAGATTATACGTAGAACAGTTCAAGATATCTAAAAGTATTAGGCTGTTGATCAATTGATATGACGCCTGATACTTGAAATAAATAAAATTGCCAAAGTCAATGTCAAAGCCATTTTGGCTGCCTCTCCAACTTGAAAGTCATTAAAATAAAATTATCTGAATACCCAATTACTTCATGGATGTATTTTAATGGTTATTGTTTTGTTTAATCATTTTATTGCAATTAAAACTTGCTAAATAGCTCTTTTTAAGTGTTCTAACATTTTTCTTCAACTTGGGTGATTCTACAATGGAGGTTTTTTTGTAGATTAGTGCCTAATCTGTCTACTTTTTAGCCTCTAGATCAATATCATTGTGGAAAAAAGATTCTGTTTTTTTCTTGGTTTAGATGGAAAATTTAAATACCAATGTCAGATGACAAAATACTTCATCAATAGGCAATTAATGTATTTACAGTGAAATAAATTTCAGGGCAAAATAAATGAAAATGGGTGACTATATTGGAACCTTGAGAGTAATAGCCAGCAAGCAGGGGTTGGAGTTAAAGCTTGGTGTTGGCAAAGCATGCTTCTAGGGGCTATGTTCCAGGAAAGGTGGAGAGATAATTGGTGTGAGAGAGGCAAAGAAGGTGTAATTTCAAAGACTAGTTGTCTTATGCACAAAAGCATCATAGTTCTCAAGCATAGATTTCATCTTCTATTTATTCAACAAATTTTTATTGAACATTTACTACATACCAAGAAATTCGCATCACCCAAAGGTGATTTAGACAGATTTGTGACTTTAAATAACTCTTCCTCCTTAAGGGAAATAAAATCATATGCAATTCAATAAATATAATAGTAGGAGTATGAACAAAGTAGTAATTTATCAAGTAGCACTGTTTTCAGGGAAGTGGGTGTATTTTAGGCAAAATATAAGGTAGAAAAGTGCATTGTACATCTCCAGATAAGGAGGGGAATGGGGGAAAGGGGGAAGATGGGAGGGGAATCTGGGAAGATGTCAGTCTGAAAGGCTGGGTTGCTAAGGGCATTGTTCCTTATTTCTAAGGAGATTTAGATGGGTAATATTCAGATGGGCACTATAGGCAAGTGGAAGTCATAGGAGAATTTTAACTTTGAGCGCATGATCAGAATTTTGTTTTGGGAAAATCATTCCTACAGATGATTTTCTTTAGAAGATGAGTAGAGACTGGTAACAGGGAATTAGGTGGTTACGACAGAGGATGAGAGTCTTTGCCTGGGAAGATGGAGAGGAATTGGACATAAATGAAAAGTTGAGAGTAAAATGATGGTGATAAACAAATCTTTTAACTAGCACTTATAGGGTAGCATTGAAAGTAGAGATACAAAAGGATCTCAAGGTTTTTACCGAGGGAACTAGATGGGTAATAGTAACTAACTTCTCAGTGTTTATGTCCAAATAGCAAACTTTCTTCAGATGTGTATACCTCCTTGTTTTCTCTAAAGATATATACAGGGTTATATCTTAAGATATTCTGGGGCAGTACGTGTTCTTGGGGAGATTTATTCTGATACATATTTGGAGGACAGTTGTCAAAATAAAAAAATATTAGGCATCTTACATTATAACACTGTAGTTTATCAGCTTCTTTCAATCTGTAAATCAATTCCTCTCTCTTTCTCTCTCTCTCTCCCCCTCTCTCTGTTTCTCTCACTCTCTTGAAATATAACTACCAATGTGTAGTGGCACTGTCTTTTTTTAATCACGGGAAAATACATTTTTCTTGGTAAGGATTTTAGATGCCGTATGCATCCTTAAAATGCTTTTGGGAGAAAGGAACTGTGTAAGTCTTGCATTTTTCCATTAAAAATTATGAGTCAACAGGGTAGAATGTATTCTGCAATTTATGCCTTCCTGTGAACATTAGTACAAATCTCCCAGGTCAGGATTTGGTGGTGGAGTGTGGGAATTTTCCATGCCTTTCAGCATTGATGTCTAAGACTTTTAATCCAAGTTATCAGTTCAAAATGAATGGGAGCAATTTGCTATTCATTTTGTGAAGTGTGGACAGTGGTTTTGATAAATGAACAAGGCTTTGGATAATTTGAGTAAAATCCTTTTCTAGGTAACACCTTGTACACTATAGAGACTAAAAAGAATGACATTGTAGATAAAGGAAAAATGTGCATTTGAAGCCTATTGATAGAAAATTCTTTGGGATATGTTCTAGATCTAAATCTGTAATCATAATAGATAAATATATCTGTTAGGTCTAGGAAGAGGAAAGGGAAAAGAGGAAAAAGAAAGCCAAAATGAATGTTATTGGCAGTATAATAATTAGTTTGCTAATCACAGATTTTAATAAGAAACTAAGATGTCTCAACCTAAGTTAAAATGTAACATCAACTTTATAGAGGGGGATTAGGAAGAATACACACACACACACACACACACACACACACGCACACTATCCCATTACAATGACCTTGAAGTCACAGTATTAAAGAAAAAAGATAAAAGAAAGCTGGAAAAACTGGAAGAGCACTTACTATTCTGTGTGCAGAAAATATTTAATTTAAACACTCTAAGAAATTATGTCCAAAGAATCATTATCCCAGGAAACATCTATAGAATGAGTGTATTTCAAGATCTTCATTACAGTTTAATTTGCATAGATATTTTGGGGAACTCTAGGACTCTAAGTGTATCCCTAGGATTTTATTTGCAGAAATGAAGTAAACTATGGATAAGCTTTTCTCAAGTCTTAAATACTAGATTTCTGCATCAAGAAAGCAAAATAGGCTCCACTCAGACACACTCAGGGAGAACATCAAGATAGAGTGTGACACTTTACCCACTGTTAAGGAAGAGAATGAGAACTTAAATGCTGACTCAGGGAACAGGGAAACTGTGCTTTCTTCCCCAGTGTGGCAATAAGGGAATTAATCAAGTTCAGCTTGTTGGCAGAACTATGTTACACTGCAAAGCATGAGATGGGTTCAATGGATCGAGTCTGAGCAACCCTTTAGGGCAATGTATTCCAAACTTACCTGACTACTGAAATATGTTTAAGTTACAACGCATTAATGGAATACCAACAGAAATCATAAGACATATTGCATAATTTGATTAAAGAAGACCTCAAACATCGTGTCATATCAGAGTTAAAAGCTGCAAAATATGATAAAAACTTATTCATATATGTGATGTAGGTTTAGAGCGCCACCAATCAGATAATTTATTCTATTTCATTAATAACAAAAAACTTAAGTTTTTCAATCTTAAGTATAATAAAATACCAAAACATTTTACCAGGACAGCTTATTAAAAAATCTTTTTATAGCATATTCACTTAACATTGTTATATAATATGAAATCTTGTTTTATATAGATACTGTGTAGAAGAAGAGAATAGGAATTGCATATTTTGCAGCCTTTGGGTAATCTTAGATGGACTACTCTAAGATTTACTTCAAAGACAGGAAAAAATGAGATTCATCATCTTAATTTTGAAGTATTCTGAATTTTACTTGTTGACATGTTTTACTTAGACACAATTTGAAAACGACGTGACTCTTCTTTTGTTTAATTCCCTCCTTTTTCAATTATTGTTCTTTTGTTTAATGCCCTCTTTTCTCAATTATAGTTCCTGGTAAATAGGATCATGAGGTATAAATTTTTCATATATGACAAATATTAAAAGCATACAGTATCTTAGAGTTGTAAAATGCTACTAAAAACCAATCATTTTCAAATAGACAATGCATGTCAACCTGAGGGTTAAGTGGTAAATACTGCATCAAAGTGTAGGTTAAAAGTTATAAAGTCATTCTCATGACTTCTGCGTGTCCTGGTGTGCATTTCTTAAAAGCAGATAATTGTATGACAATTGTAGTTGTTTGCACATTTATTCAATATTTTTATATATTAAATTCATGTATAAAATAAATGTGGAGACAACAATGCTTCTAGCTATGTGCCTGTGTGTGTGTTTGTGTGTGTGTATGCATGTGGCCTTGAAGAACAGAGTTTGGGAATTGTTGCTTGTAATTGCAGAAAGCAATATAACACTGTTGATTATCCAGTCAAAGAAAGGTTCAAGGGTGCCATTTAACACAAAAATCAGACAGATTCTTTGGGAAAAGGCACTAGGAGTTGCTACTGTGTCCTGAAGGCCCACCTGCTGTTGTTGCCTTTATCAAAGATTGCTGCTGAAAACCATCCTAGAGACAGAAGCAGCAGCCCTGAAAGTGGGGATTTTGCGCTAAGCACAACCTTTGGAAACAGAAGGTAGGCTTGTAGAGGGTCTTTGCTCCTCTTTCTCAAACCACAGTGCCACACTAGGAGAGGCCCATGAAACACTGGGGTTGTGTGGTACTAGCAGGAAAGGGAGCAGTGAAGATGATGATAACGATAATTTTAGTGCTCCTTACTGAGGTGAAAAAATAAAAATTTCACAATAGGAAATCCAGTGTGGGTTAAATCCTAGCTTAAACTGGGTAAGAATTTAATTTCTTTACAGCAGCAGTAAGTCTGCCCTTAGATTTCTGCTACAGTAGTAGGAACTGGATGAAAGAAGCTAATATTTATATAAGCCAATAATAAATGTAGAAGCAGGACACAGGTTGATTCAATGGCTATTCCAAGATTAGAATATGTAAATGGAAGCAGTAATTTGAATTCAAACTGAGAACCATCCTTGGTGGAGAAGTGGAATTAGCTTTTCTGTTTGAGTCATTCTGTACCTGGATCTTTAATCCTGGGAAGTCCAGTGAGGCCACAGAGTCCTGCTTATTCTTATGAACAGTACTGATATAAACCACAGCCTAGGTACGTGCACCTTCCCCACCTGATATCTCCTATCATTGTTTAAAAAATGTTTTTAGCTTCTTTCCTAATTTTTGTTTGTTTTGTTTTTACCTTTCCTTTCCATGGCTTCTGGCTCTCCCTGCTCTACTGATGCGGTTTAGAGCTTCCTGCCCTTGCCACAATCTCTCACAGGGAAGCTCTCCCTGATTCTTGGCTACCTAGTGAGCATCCAGATGGTTGTCTTCAGCCCTAGTAGGCAAGGAGTTGGAGAATCATGCAATATTTTGTCATTGTCTAAGATATCTCAATGTTGGAAACTAAACACATGAAAACTCAAGCATTTGTGAAAATCCCTCTAAAAGGGCAAAAAGGTGAACATGATCAGTTTGAAAATCTGAGAGATTAGCATAGGGACTCTGTCTGTATCATATCATCGCTATATATCGAAGCAAGCCATACACAGACTGTGTTTAATTGTAGCCCAATGATATTGCACTGTATTATTTTAATCTTAGAAGGCTGATATGTTTTTTAGGTGCCATGGTTAAGAAAAAAAAATATTAGAAGGGAATGAAACTAATAGCTTCAGCTAAATGTTTTGGGAAGACAATGTCCTTTAGAGACAAGAGAAAGTCTACAAACATCGCTGTTTAAACTCAAAGGTTAGATGACTGATAACAGGGCATTGTCTGGAGGCTTTTGCAGTTCAGGTTCATGCTATCAAACTCTCTAAATTACACCAATATACAACTGATAAGAAACCGTAATGGACCTTTCATTTCCTATCTGTATGGTAACTAGTACAAACACCATGTATGGTTATAAGATTGTTACCTATAAGACTTCATTCTGATAACTTCCTGTCAAGTGATGTGTTGCAGAAACTGTTTCCAGCTTCTCATCTCTTTTGCTACAAGGTTTTCCATGCATAATATCACTTCAAAAGAAATTTACAAATCTTAACCCGCTGGATTATTTCAAAGGAGATTATATATCATAATATTGGTTATTTTATATATTAATAAAATAATAAATTTGAGATATAAATCAGATATATTTATCTATCTGTCAATAAACCAGAACTTATGAAGAAGGAAATAGTCTGGGAAAATTGCTTTGAAAGGCATTTTATTATGTATTAACAGTTTATACAAATTTTAAAATGTAAATATTAAATATGACTCCCTTCTGAAACCTACATTTAACTTTGGAGACCATTCCCAGGTATAACCACATTCAAAGTGTATATTTTTTGTCCTTAGCCATCTGACTTCATTCTAAAAGCTCCCAAACCAATATGCCAGTCTGATCTTTTTCTTGGTTTCTTGACCCGAATATCCACCTCCCTATTGGGCATTTTCATCTAGATGACGGGCCTGGAGACTTCCATCTCAAGCTAAATATTTTTCAAAACTATTCTTTATGTTTTCTCCTTTCTCCAAACACCCATGTGCTAACTTTTCTGAGCTTCTTTCTGGTAGCCCTATTCTCTGGGTTACCCATCCTTCAAGTTGCTTTGCCTCTTTCTTCTCCCCTGCTCTGCTTGTTCACATCCATTCAATCAGTTTCATCATGTGCTTCTGTGACCTGTCAGTTCTTTCCCAGTATCTTCAGCATCTGTCCCTTTCTTTCCATGCCTGCTCTCAGAATCTTACTGGATTTTGTCACGTGGGTTTTTGGTTTCCCAGTTGGGATTCACCTATTCAATCTCTCTTTCCTTATTCATCCTGTATAATGTCCACATTAATATATTTCTGACATTGTTGAGAGAAACATTTAATTGTCTTTCTTACCTCCTGAATAAAGTCAAATGACAACAGCCTGATATTCATGATCCTTCAAGGTCTGGCCTATGTGTACATCTTTAGACTCGGTCATCATGATTACCTTTCCTATAACCTGCAGCCTAGCCAAAGTGGACTACCTGCACTGCCTAAGCATGCTCTGTTCCTTTCTCATCACACTCTGTATGAGGAATTTGTTTCTTCCCTAAATCTGCCTCTCAGACTCTATCGGTCTTCCGTAGTCTAGCATAGCTGTCTTCCTTTCAATAAGGGTCTAAGTGGCAGCATCCATATGTTCCATGATGGGCAGACCTACACAAACATACTCCCAAAGTCTGAGGAAGCTGAGAGGCTGAAGAAAGAGGCTGATAAATACAGTTGCTTAGAAAGAAACATTTAATAAAGACTTATGAATAGAAGCCATGTCTGTGTCTTGGGCAGTGGCAAGACAAGATGCTGGATCCCTATGCTATTACCCCCAGACCCAGGGCTTATATACTATAGGGAAGTAACATGTAGGACAATGAAGCTGATCTCCCAGGGAAAGGAAAGGGTGCTGTGTGAACCTGTAACAGGCAGGATTGATGGTCAAGGTCGTTTTGACCTAAGGGCAAGATTTATGGTAAGTACATTTTCTTACACAAAGAAGAATACATATACTGGAAATAAGGATTCCAGTTCCTTCTTGAAACTGAGGTTAACCAGAAGTTAGCATAGTGGGTTGGCAACCAAGATGCAGTTGGTCTTCACGCCGTGTCTTACCATTTCTGCTAGATTGTAACATTGTAATAAGCCTGTATGTCATAATGAATTTTGCTTCCCTCTGTAGATGTTAAATGTTTGCCAAATAAACAAAAGAAAATTAAAAATTAAATCTCATCACATTTGCATGTAGTAGCACACATTTAAGGTTATAATCAAAAGTTGCCTAGTCCTTTTCAAGAACTCAGGTAGATGATTCATGTTTATACATGTATCTCTAACACTGGATTCAAATTTTGTGTCTCCTGTTCTTAAGTCTTTAGGATATCTTATAGAAGATACTCAGTGGATAGAAATTGGTGGATATTGTTGTATCTTATAGTAATTTTTCCTTTGTTATTATGAACTAAGTAAAAAAATCAGTTTTGTGTAAAATCATGCCTTGGTTTTAATTATATCTAAATTTAATGGTTACAGTTTTCCCTTTCTGAGGGTGACTCAAAGAATCATTACTGTGCTTTGATTATTACTGGCTTTGAATGGAAGAGGCTGGAAGAAGAAACTTTTTGAGCCCCATTAAAACCTTTTTATTAGGATGGATACATTAATTTTAGAATATTTGAAAATTCCCTACAACAATATGTGACTGTATATGCAGGGAAAGCTTTTTAAAAAACAGGTGTGTTAGATTTTGTCACATTGTGGTCCTATCCTGAAATATTCTGAAACTTTTTATAAGTTACTGTAAGTCAATCATTAAAAAAAAAAAACTGACAAGTTTTCAGTTTAATAATTATTTTCTCAGTCATCTTGGGCAAGTCATATCACTTACTTGAGCCAGACTCTTCATTGTTAATATGATAGTAGCAATAACTGTCTCCCAGGTTTGTTGTGAAAATTAAATGAAGTTGTGAGTATAACACAATTTTTAAACTGTAAAGTGATATAAACATTATTATGTACATATATGTTTATACAAATAATTTATTACTAATACACATGCTTGTAGGTATTCTGTGAACTCTTTTGCCTTATACTCCAATGGCCTCAGTCCACTGGCCTTGGACCCTTAGAAGGACTGTAATGGCTCGTACTGCCACATGTGTAACAAGCATTTACCTTTAGAACGAACAACTAGTATATTGTAAATGCAGTTGAAGTGCTGATTTTCAAATGTCTGCATAAGCACTTGTGGTTACAAACCATACATTCTGCTAGTTTTTTTACAGATTTGTGTTTTCCTATCATCATGCTCCTTTTTAGCCAATGAATTAGTACTATGAAGGTGTGTCTATTATCTTGTACGCAGAGAGCCTTCCAAATTTTTGTCGTTAAAATGAGGTTCTGGTAGTTGAAGCACTTGGGAAAAATAGTTATACTGTTTGGAAATCTAAAAGAAACTACTCTGTAGTCCTGGAAAAATTTATGAGCTATTTACATACAGTAGATTGGGAAATACACTATTTTTGTTCTTATGGAACATCTATAAAGCAAGCATTCAATTTCAGAATGGTCTATATGTGACTTCAAAAGTCAGACTGAAAAAATTCATTTCTCTAAAAAATCTTACAGAGTACATATACGAATCAGGGGGAAAATGCAATTAAAATCTCAGCCTCTATCGAGTTACTTCAGAAATAAATGTTGGCTGAGGAATTGGAGTGGTATAAGAAGCTGCTGGTCTGCACATGCAAAGCAAATAATTATTATATTAAAAATTACAGTTTTTAAAACATTTGTTTCTCATCTGGCATCAAATAAAGTTTAATTGCAAGTTGTTTTATGTCATTTTCTCTTGGGGATATGTTTTCAAAAAGATACACAGGAGGTTCATATGTACACACATCTCATTATTTCTCAGTAGGATTCGTGTTTGTACCACCTACTCGTGATTGGAAATGCATACTCTAATGTCGATTTCGGCTTGTACTGAGCTTTTACAACAATATAATTCTTCTTCTGCTACATGGTTCTGTAAGCTGTTTCACAATGAGATTCCAAATTGCCAAAAAAGCAAACCAGCCAACCAAAAGCCCTTAATGACTCTCAACAATTTCTTTGACATATTTAAGCAAAATATTCTGTTCGCTTTAACAAAAAGGCACAAAATTTTGGGTTTGGGTTCGAAATAGAGTTGGCCGGCAGCTACTTATAAAATTGAGCAGCAGATACTGCAAGAAAAACAGATTATATGTGTATTCTATTTCTTTCCTGGACAGCCTGTATTGTAAATATTTGCTTTTACCATCAGCGTAAGAGACGAAAGCACTCTTTTCTTTCCACAATTTAGAAATGGCTTTAGAGAAATAGTATAATAATTATACAGGAAGTACCACAAAATAACCCTTTCAATTTTCTTGGTTATTGTTATGAAAAATCTTGAAACGTGCATTTGGTGTTAAAAGAATCTTGTTTAGACATTTTCTTAATGTGCTGAGCAAAAGGAGAAATTAGCTGCAAGTCTCTGAATGTATTGAATGGCGACCTTAAATAAGAGCAAAGAGTATTTGAAAATAAGTGTAATGCCGTGATTCCAAAAGGAGAAAATGGGGGTTTTTGAATGGCAGACAGGGGCAGCAACACTGAATCATATTTCCTGGGATTTTCTGATGACAGTTAAAACATGTTAGTGGCTTCCTGTTGCCCTTGGGGTTTGCCCTGAACAGAGCTTACATAGCCCAGGAAGATCCCGCCTCTTCTCAGCTCCCCCAGCTCACCTCTGAGGGCACTCTGCCTACTCCTTACTCCCACCCACACAGGCTTCCTTTCAGCTCCTCCTATCTGCCCGAGCTGCCTTCCAATGTAGGACCGTTGTACAGGTTGTTTCCTCTACTAGGAAGGCTTTCTGTGCCTTCTTTTCTCCTACTCAGCTTCCTCCTTCCTCTATTAAACCCTCACCTACCTTCCACCTTAGTCCTTCATAATACCCCCTGCATATCGCCAGGCATCTCTTTTGCAGCACGTGCCACAGTTGTCATCCTTAGTTGTTACAGATCTTTTGTAAGGTACTGTGAGTTCATAAGGCTGAGAACTCATCTGTTTAGTTCACCATGGTAATATACCAACAGTGTGCCTGGCACAGAATAAACACCCAAATATTTACTAAATGACTGAAAAAGGACTCCTACTCTATCACTATCTATTCCAGACCCCAGTCAATGTAACAGAACAAATCTCATTTTCTGGCCAACATTTCCTTTCCTTGCAACACAGACTACATCATCTTATTGCTGAATGTGTACTAGCCATTGTATTTGTCTACCCAGGCCATACAGGAGCAATATATTGCTGATTTTTAATGTCCTATGACATGACTTGTCTATGAAAAGTGGCATACAAAAATCAAATCTTTTTCTATTCTACTTCCACGTTCCATTTTGTGTAAAGTAATCATAAACGACCCCCTCTGAAGGCCACTTTCCCTCAAGGTAATCTGGCAAACAATGATTCTATAGCAACAACAGGAAAGCACTACATCATTTTATGAGCCTTGCCTTTATTTCTCCAGGCAGTGATATTTTGCTAAATCCTTGCTGCCTCAAGGGGCTATCTGCTAGCTAGAAACCAGTGATTATAACCTGATGCTGTGCAAATCTATCAGAAAAGTCCTGTGAAGTTACTTCTTCTAAGTACTTACCTTGGTTAGTTAACAAAGCCTATCAATTTAAAATAAATAAATAAAGTGAGCCAAAGTCCTAATGCAATGATCTAATCAAGCAAAAAGCGATTACCTAAGTAATCATTTAGGAAAAGGCTTGTTCGGTTCTGGCTTAGAATGAACTCACATTTCCACATGTCACTCTGTCAGCCTTCCTTATTATTGTCACTGCTGTTATCAGCATGGTCCTTGCATTTCTATCTTATCTCCTACCTCCTTCTCCCTGTCCTTATCCCTTTAGAACCACTACCTAGGAGCTCTGGCCCTAGAGTGGACTGAGTGGATGCTTTTCTGAAACCAGCTGGATACAATCAAGAGGACGGAACAGGAGCCCTTTGCTTTTCTCACTGTAGAGAAGCCTCTTGGAAACGCCTCAGCTCCCAATGCCCAGGTTATTGTAAATTCCTGTGTTGTCAAAGGAGTCAATCATAGACACAGAGACAAAATTGTCTGTCAAAATATTTGCAAAAACAAATGGGGGTTGATAGATTTTATTACTAACTAAACCTTAACATCTTTAATTAGATATTCCAAACAAGGGAACCCTTCCCATGCCATAAAGTGAAGTAAAATGGACCATCATTACATCACAATGAAATTGAGAGGTGAGCAATTCTTTTCCTGTCTGATCTAGTTTTCATATTTCCTTGCTTCTGTGTTTACAGAAAATGGAAAGAAAGCTGTTTGTATGTTTAGAAGATTTCAAGATGGCCACTGTCATCTAAATTAGAATTTTTGGCTCATTTCCAGTTTGCGTGGAGCCCTGGCCCTTTCTTTAATAACAGTAATAACGAGTGCAAGCCTAAAACAGTTTTGGTCTTGAGTTTGCATTCCATGCATCTTCTTTGAAATGTTAAAACATCTGGTTTTAAGAAAAAAAATTAACTTCAAAATGTTTAGAGAGAAAAAGGCAGCCCACAAAATAAATCAGGGTCAAGTGTTGTTATTTCACGGGTAATTATAAAGCAGTCCAATTTATTAGTAAATCTTGCATCATGCTTACTTATAGCCACATCCATTGCAATTGTTTTTGGGATCTCATTGGAAAGTAGTTAAATAACAGGGTTTAGGAAAATATGGGACCAACTATCATGGCAAAAAATACCATGTGGTCTTGTCATACCTTGCTTTCCTAAGTTTTCCATCTTGCAAGTAAATTTTTGTCCTTCTTTAGTGTATTTCCCTAGTTAATTCATGAATTTTTACCAGCAGTTACTTGGAAACAAAAGGACGCCCACATTAAATTATTGAAAAGAAAATGCTTGCTAGTTTAATTGAAGAGCAGATGGTTGGCTCAAAGGGTCTTCTTACTGTGTTTCAATAGCACAGCAAGGAAGAGGGGGACAGGTTGCAGTGGCCCTATTAAGCTAACACAAACAACTTGGAGGAGGGTAAGGCTCAGCATTTTGAGAAAGCCAACTTCTTTGAGACTTTAATTATAGTTCAAGAAGACTCCTCTGCCTCTCTTTTCAAGCAAATGGGCTGAAAGGGATCTTTAAACTAGTCTGCAAGAGAACATAAACACTTCATGAAAATGGGGTACAAATCATTCAGACCAGGCAATACCAAGATGTAAAGCAGTCAGCATCACTTTTCTCTAAGGTCATTATCAATTCGTAGTAATCTTACATTGTCAGGGAAATGTTCACTCGTGTACCAACTGCTGAATGTGTGGTTGCCTCTCCAAAGAACCTGTAATCTCGTTTTTACAGCCAACGAAACAGGTCCATCTTCTAGCCTTGTAAGTTACTTTTTTCTTCTCCAGTTTTCACCAGTTTACCCAGATTAACTATTGAAGACTGATACTTAAATAGAAAAGCATTGGTCTAATTGTGAAATCCAGCAATTAGATTAGGAAACTATATTTAATGGTTTTTCTCTTTGGGAAATTTGTACATATAAATAACCTGTTTAATCTTTTCCTTTCTGTCAAATAAATTAGATAAAGCGTCAAATGCAGTTTATTTCTGCTATAACTTAAAGAGTGGAATTTAGGCAGTGTCTATGCAGTGCTATATATCTGGGTGGGAATGAGTGCATTTGGTAAAATACTGAAATCAAATCAAACTTGTGTGCATTGTCCAACTGTAAATGTCTGTTTATATTAGAATAAATTATCTGACAATTATCTGGACAATTACCAAAAACATTTAGAAGTGAATACAATCTGGAAAGATACCACAACATCTTTAAAGATGATTATAGTTTTACTCATGAGTGTGGTTCCTGATCATTAACCAGAGCCAACACATTCTTATTTCACTTACAGTTCAACAAATTTCACTATCTCAGTTTCTACATTGCAATAATTTATAATTGTGATTAGAAGAGAGAAATGTTTCTGAGACAGGAACATTGATAAGAAAATCATGAAAAGAAGTCGTAGTTGGCAACAAGAAAAACGGCAGAAAAGTTCTGAAGAAACTCAAAAAGATTATAACTTGGATCTGTTAAATGTGGGATCAAAGCCTGAACATCCTAAAGCTGTTGTTTCTCAAGCTTCCCTGGTAATAAGAATCACCTGGGGGGCTTGTTAAACACTTTTCTAGTTCTTCTCTTAGAGGTTTTGATTCAGTGTGCCTACTTAGGACCCAGAAATGTGTACTTAACAAATAATACAAGCCATCCTTAGCACTGTTTGGGAAACACCACTCCACAAGTAGAAGGGCTTAAAAAGAAGTCAATAATTGATGTATAGATGATATTTTAAGACATTCAGAAGAGGCTATATCATGTAGGTCATTTTCCATAAAAGATGAAAAGAGTAGTTTAACTGCATTATTTTATTTCTACTGACAATGGTGTCTTTAAGGGGACAAATTTCAGTAAGCGTAAGATTCACTTCTCTGTTACTGATTATTCCTTGACAAATTGTCTATTGAGAATTAGTAGTGCATAGAGAACCATATTTAATGAAGAAAAAAGTTTGGGATTGTGAATAACATAACTTGTCATTAAACTTTTATAGTTTGTATTAAACTTGAACTTCTCAAATATAGCATTTTTCATCATTTACGTAACATCATCAAGCCAGGAGCAAGTGCCTCTAAATTACATATTGTTTTATTATTTACAGGTTTTACTATTATATTAGATCCCCAGAGGTATTCAGACTAGTTATATATGACTCAGTGAATTCATAATCTAGAACAATTTACAATTGCATTTTAATCCAGAGTTTAAAAAGCTACTAATAACATCAACACATGTGAAATAGCAAATGTTATTGAGTTAAATTATTTTCTCAGGGTGAAAGTGATTGAGCCATGTCTATCATAACATTCTGGAAGAGGTGGAATTTCAGGTTGAAATAATATTTTTTGTATGGTGATAGAATGACTAAAAACAACTTTCAGAATTTTTTCCCTGCCTTCAGTGAAGACTTTTATCATCTGAGCTCTCAATCTCAATCCTGCTGTCCTTCTTGGGTGCTTCAATATCTACTTGGATGACCTGCCGAGGCAATGACTTGGGCTTTCAATTTCTTATTTTTGTTGTCAATGATGTGACCTTTATCTTTAAGCTACTTCAGCTATCCCATTCCATTGTTGCATGTTGGATCTTCTTATAAGCCCAAACTTCTTCTGAAGTATTGACTTCAATAATCTCACTCCATGTGTAAGGTTTATGCCTCCATTCTCCAATATACTTTTTTCTGCCACACAGTTTCTGGAATATGTGGGGACTTCTGATTCTTTGTCTCTTCCGCTTACCCCTGTGAACAAGTCTGCTTTCATCTTCACATCCCTCCTAACCCAAATTAGATGCCCTGTCAATATCCTTAAACTGTGTTGCCTTCTTGCTTTTCTATTGTACCTTTTCTGAAAAGCCTCAATGCTGTATAAATTGAACTGGATTAATCCTAGTTCAGTACAGTTCTACAGCTTTTGAAAATCAAACAAACTGAAAGACAGGGGTACTATTATAGATTCTGGGTTTCCAAAATCAACTTGTTCCTCAACAGAGCCAACCTACACTTCTAGGAATCATTAGTTGCCTCCCTTTATTGCTCTCCATGGTGACATTTTCAACACATCTATATGTTCCTCAGAACTCTGATCTTCTCTTCTCCCCTGTCCTCAACAGATAATCTTGTCTCTGACTTCAAAGTGAAAATGTAGGCCATCATAAAGAAACTCTGTCAACTTTGTACTGTCTTTCAACTGTGATAGTACTTCCTTGTGTCTATGATTAATCCCTCTACCTGTGTCTGGAGCATTCTTATTTTCTTGTTAAGGATTTCATGACCATCTTTTGATTCAATCTCTCCATATTGGTTAGTATTCATAGTTCAAATGTTTCTCATGTTAAAAAAGAACTATATACAAACCTTCTCTCCCCCTCAGAGCCCCTCCACCTTTCTGATTCATGGTTAATG